AGGAAACTCTTTGAGTGTGGAAAGAATGAGATGAAGGGCACTAGGCAATCAGGTGTGAGAGAGAAGTGATAATCAGAGGCATTCTCCAAAGACAAGAGCTGCCAACTCTACAGCAAGGATGTCACCCTGATCCCCAAATCAAGCTTAATTCAGAATCCCACACTGGCTTTTATGCAGGAGAGAGTGCAAGTAGCCATCCCCCCACCCCCCACCCCCACTTCTTGACACCCTCGTTCTCTGATGTCCCCCTTGGCTTCTGATAAGGGAGGCAGCAGAATCAAAAATACCTCATATATGGATTCAAATCCTTGCTCTCTCCCAGTGGCTTCAAAATTTCTAGGGGGTTAAGGCTACCATCTGGTTGGAAGGGGGCTGAGGGACTAACTTTAACAATGCATTTGCATAGAAAGACCCCACCTCATTTTTATCGAGAGTTTATTTACCTTAGTCATTTAAGAGTCAGAAACACCTTACCTATCTTTGGTCCCACTATGGGCCCCAGGCTAATTACTTAACCTGTGTCAGCTTCAGTTTCCTCATCCACAAGACGGGGATGCTATTGCCCATCTCACATGGACTTGTCAGCTTGGAACTACTCTGGGGTAGAACTGAGGCATGACACCAGGAACTCCACATCCACCACAAAACATACATATCTCTAGATTTCCCCCTGCTGGGTCTCCCTTGACAATGACTTACAGCTCTCTCCCCACCACCATTCACTCCACCAGCTCCATCATTTAGTCACTCAATTCTTAAATATTTATTAAGCAACAGTTGGCTGTTGGATATTCCAAGATGAAAAGGCACAGTCTTTCCACCTGAACTAGTTAGGGAGTATTTGGGATCTATCTACTTGGCATATAAACATGCACCCTGGGTGACTGGCTGTGCCACTGGTAGGCTTCCCCCACCCTTAAGGTACCATATTTTGAGAATGGGTGGAGGTTGAGAACTCTGGCCTTTGGGAGAAATAAATAAGAGACTTGGGGAAGGGGTAGAGGAAGATGTTGCCCCTTTAAATCATAACCACTAAAGTCTGGAATCAGACATGCAACTAGAAATTTCTCTGAGCCTCCCATTCCTTATCTGTAAAATAATGCCTCCATCACATGATGCTTTCCCTCATGTGAGGAGTCTGGCAGACAGAGGGCAACAGCAAATGTTAATTCATTTCCCAATTTATTTCCCTCCATTACCCCCCTCCCCCAAATCTAAGGTTAGGGGAGGAGCCAGAGAATAGACACTTGGTATTTCTGACTGGAGATTCAGAGCACACTGTTATGTGACTATCTCCACATCCAAAATATTTCCGTGCTGGGTCCAGTGGATTGGGGGAGGCCAGTCTTATCCAGTTTTCAGGTCATTGTAACTAGTGCTTTATCTGTCTTCGGGTGCTATAGCACTTCCAGTGACGCCTAGTCAACCCCTCCCATCCTTTTCCTATTGTTTCCTGCCTTTCAGAAGCCCGTCTTGGGGGCTGTTTTTTTGGCTACCAGACATTTTTACTTATTTTACAGTTCTTACCCAACTGCACACCAACCAAGTCCTCACACTGGCAACTGGCATCACCTGGAGAGCTGTTTTCTCTATTAATCCACAGATGGGGAGGTTTTCCTGGGCGGAACTACCTGCTGGAGGTCTGGGGCTTCTTTGCATTATAAAGCCCCCCCCCCCCCCCGCAGCATGGCTGCTTGATGCTTGTGCCAAAGCGGCCAGTACCCCAAGTTCCAGTCTGATTTGGCTCACTGTGCCCTGGCCGCCTTGCTGATGCCTCTAGTGGGCATCTGTCAGGATGAAAGGAAAGTGCCCATTTGCAAGATATTGGGTGTATGTTGTGTGTGTGGGGTGGGGGAGGGGGCGTGCAGCGGTAGGTGGCCTCTTTGGACTTCTACGGGGCAGAGAAATTGGGATGCCACGGGGCTTATGAATGTGCACCTTCCAGCCCACCCCCAGATTCTGAAAGTGGCACAGCTCCCCATGTTCCCTTTTGAGAAGGAAACAGTGGGTGGGGGCATAACGCTGCTCGGGTGAGCGGCTCCCACCCACTAGCCTTCCCACTGTCCTTCCCCCACACTGCCACCCCTCTACTGTAACAAAGGCACATCACTACACATTTTCAAAGTTGTCAGAAGTCTCTTGGTCAATCAACAAACAATTCTGATGACTCAAAAGGAGGAAGAGGAACATTTAGAAAATGGTGAGACAGATCCCTGGGAAGCGGGGAAAAGCACAGCAAACCTTGCCCTATGCACACAAGGCTAAGACTTGCTTTCTCCCTGCTGGCTGCTTTTCTCTCTGTTCTAAAGAGACGCTTCCAAGAATCAGCTAAATAAAGGGATCACACCAGAGGAGGAGAGAGAATGCTAAACCAACAAAAACAAAGACTCAAATGAAACAGAGCGAGCCATGAGAATTCGCGGTTATCAAAACTTTGTTTGGCCGTATCTATTTATCATCGCTGCACACCCGGGCTCTGCGGAATATCATTCTGTTGATGTCACTTATCCTCAGCAAAATATTTACACATCCTTAAAAACGCCAGATGAGGGGGGCCAGCCCGCGCACTGCCGCAAGCTGCCCCTCAAGCACCGTCGCCGAGTTCTGAGCAGACGGTGAGGTGGGGGGGGGGGCAAGGGCTGAGGGTGGCTCCGCGGGCACAGGTAAGAGCGATGGATAGTTCCAGGAACGCGGCCACCCCGGCGCTGCGCCCTACCCTGCCCTGCCCACCTCTCCCCCACCTGACTCTGCTACAGAAGCAGCCACATCCCCGATATGCTGTCGGCGCCTCCTCCTTCTCCCCCTGCCTTTCTCATTGATTAAGTTCTCAAACCATTGTTAAAGCCGGGTTGCTTTTCCCTGGAAAACTGGGCTGAATTCATTAAGCTTCCCCGTGCCACAAAAGGAATATTCATAAAAGTTTGGCAGGCAGAAAAGGAGGTTGATTGCGTGCCACGGGGTGGGTGACAATTTGCTTCTCCAAAGCCACCTTTTTCTTCTGCGCCCCATCCCTCTCTCCTTCCATCCGTCGTGCCCCAAACCTACTCCAGGGACTTCTGATAGGGAAACACAAAGCAGCAGCTGTTTGGCAACATTTCTACCCCTCGCCGGCAACTGTGGTGGGATGCCATTTCCCCACCCAGGCGGAGCATATCCGGAACAATAGTCCGGCTTCAAACGGCAAACAAGCAAACACACAGAGCACAACCCCAACCCCGAAAAAGCCAATGCGGCGACAAGCAATAACTCCCTCCGCAGCAAAAGGCACCGCGGAAACGCACGCAAAAATGCAGCGAGAACACTGCTCGGTGCCTAACATGGCAGAAAGCCTGAGCCGGTGCGGCCATCCTGGGTCTGAACATTGCGGGGCACGAGGGCTCTCGGGGCGCCGACGCACACTCACCCGGCTCCAGGAGGTTGCGGGGCTGGCCGAGCGTCACAAAGGCGAGCCCAACGCGATCTGGCAAAACCCAACTTTCCACCCGGCTCTCCAGGGCCGCCAGATACGTCAACAGAATCCATCTTTCGAAGGGCCTGGAAGGCGCCGGGTTTTCCGGGCCGGGGCAGAGCGGCAGAGCCAGAGGCGGCCCCGTGCGGTGCCCAGGCGCGGAGTCTGCCGCGCGCCGCCCTCTGCGCCCGGTGCCAGCGCTGGTGGCGGCCCGAAACCCACTTCGGGGCCCCCGCCCCGCCGGCCGGCGCCGCCTCCCTGGCCGTCCCCGGCCCCGCCGGC